GAGAGAGAGAGAGAGATGGGAGAAGAAGAGAGGTGCTTGGAGGCAGTCTCATTAGTGTTACACAGCCTCCAAGCCCCTCTTATCTTTTTGTATATTAATAATATGTATAAAAGACAATAATACCACAAGTATTATACTAATCTCCTAAGATGTTAAAAAAGGACAGAAATGCCCCATTACTTTAACTACAGTAGGGTCGCAATTGATGTGTCAGTGTTTTTGTTTTTGTCAAGAATATAGTACCAAAGAGCAAGAAGAAATCTATCAGAGGAAGAGAAGGAAGGAAAGTTAGAGAGAGAGAGAGAGAGAGAGAAAAGAAGAAGAGAGGTTGTTGGAGGCAGTCGCATTAGGGTTACACAGCGTCCAAGCCCCTCTTATCTTTATGTATATTAATAATGTCTAAAAGACAATATTACTCTCAAGTATTATACTAATGTCCTAAAATGTTAAAAAAGGACAGAAATTCCCTATTGGCCCCACAAACAAGACACTTTGTTAGAAGATCTAATCTGTAACACTTCCCCTCAAGTTGGAGCATAAATGTCACCCATGCCTAAATTTGGAAAAGATCATCAGAATCTGATAACAGGGCTTGATTGTCTTTAGACATCTTCATTAGCTCAGTAATTGTGAATCCCATCTCTAGCATCGAAGTTTTCGGCCACATTGACTCACATGTAGTGTGAGCCATTGATCTATTTCAGCCTCTACAACTAGACCTATCTATGGCATTCTCTTTTTAATTCTTCCATGACGTGAAATTTCCTCCAACCGATGTACAATATCTAATAGATCTTCTGTTCGATGGAAACCTACCCAGTCGGCATTAGAATAGATTTTAATGCAAAAATTTTCACTCTGCCTATAAACAAGCCCTTGACCTGGAGTCCCCTTGAGATATCTCAATATTCTTCGTATAGCCTCCCAGTGTGGGGTTTTGGGGGAATGCATGAAGTGATTTGCTACACTCACTGCGAAGGCTATACCTGATAGTACTCGTCAGGTAGATAAGTCTACTACAAGTCTTCTATACCCACCTGGATCCTCAAATGACACTCCTTGGTCCTTTGATAATTTAATATTTGGATTCATGGGTGTATCAATTAGCTTCGCGCCTATCATCCCTATTTCTGATAACAATTATATACTTCCCTTAAGACAAAATAATACGATACTTAGACCAGGCTACTTCAGTTCCAAGAAATGACCTTTGTCCTAAGTCCTTTGTCTGAGCATATTGTTGTGGATACCCCTTGACATTGTTCATTCATTTGTGATCACTCCCCATAATGACAATATCATGAACATAAACCACCAAGGCAATCATACTTGTGGATTGTCTTTGAATAATTACTGAGTGATTATATTTAACTGCATATATGCAACGATATCCAACGGATCGCTTTCCTGCTACCAAAATAGTAAGCTCCCATGTTCTATTTAATTGTATGTGTTGTCATTTCTTCATCCATTGCCCTCACCCACCTTGTATGAGTGAGCTTCCTGTAGGATTGGGAAAAAAATAGAGGAAAGTGATAAAGCAGAATTTTGATATGGAGCCAAGTTTGTAAATGTAACAAAATAGGCAATTAGATATTGAGTATGGGATCATTGGCATTTACAAATGTTTATTGGAACAATATCATTATTAGACACAAAAGTGGGATCATGAACTTGTGAATGTATAGAAACCAATTCTCTTGACTTGGAGTACAATGTAGACAATATACAAGATAATACTCCACGATATTTTTCAGTACACTTGAAAATACAACTTGCAAAATTAAATTACAGCAAGGTCACTGTAACTACAATGAGCTATCGACTTCAAAATACACTCAAATGAGAAGATACAACT